TTTTTTTTTTTTTTTTTTTTTTTGGGGGGGGGGGGGGGAGACGCTGCTTACGAACGTGTTACTCTTCAGCAAAAACCTTTGTGCATCTTTTCAAATTAGACTTCTGGTCGTATCCTATTTTAGTTTCCATTTTTCTTGGAATCAAACGCTTCGTTTGGCGATGAACAGTTGCATCGTTTTTACCAAACAGATGAGTGGGAATTTTGATCGTTTGGTTTAACCTTGATTTCAAATATTTTTTGAAGCCTTTAGAAGTTAGAACTTACCTTAAAATTTGTAACGACGGCTAAATTGCTTAATTATTGGCCACAGCAGTACATGCTTGTTCCTAAACTCTTCTTTTGTACCGTGCACGACTAACGGGCAAATGCCCTTTGTTCGTGGTTAATTTTTCAAATTAATAAATCGACAAAAATAACAGCGGAATTTCCATCGTGAATCAATTGCAATTTGTGAAAATGCCAGTTTTTGGTCGTATTTGTACAGTATTTTGTGCAACTATGTGTCGAATATAATTTTTGTAATCCTCTGCAAGAAATCTCGACTCTGACGTTTTAAATTGCTTCTTGTTGAGAATTATGTACATTCAAAAGTTGTTTTTTACTCTGAAATCACTAAATAGTAATTTGCTGCTGTAAGCTTTGAATTGTTGTTTTGATTAAAAACCGTTTTTTTTTTCTTATAATAACCCAAAAGTTTTCATTTTTGAAACGTTTTTCCGACGTGTATTTTTAGTTATTAATTTTAGGTTTCCCTGTCGCCTTTAAAAAGGAATATTATTGTTACTATTGTTATCTTTTTTCTTCTTTTTTATTTATTTATTTTTAAGAAATTTAGGAGGGGAGAAGATATTTGTGTTATAGTTTCATTGTTCCCAAAGAAAAATTTGGGAAAAATTATAAAGCAGCTTCCGGAAACGTCTCTTCAATCATTTATACATCACTTAATTTAAACGTACGATTTTACTTGCTTCTACGTCGTTATTACTTCATTAAAAAAAAATCACCATAACTTTTCCTGCTGCACTTGGTTTGTGCTTTCAGATCCCCTAGTTTAAACTCTATATTGAATTATGTCAAGTGCAGAAGAGCTCGCCGCCGAATACGAGAAAGGTGAATTGGAAGTGGGTACAGGGTCGGGAAAGAGAAGTAAGGTAAAAGCCTTTAGAGGTTTCCTTCAATGATTTTTGGTGTTATGTGAGAATACTGATTGTCTGTTGTTTGAATTTTTTACGGAGTTCCAGTTCTCCTGATTGAGTAGGTTGTCGTGTAGCGAAGCTATTAGTTCTTAATACGGTTCTGAGTTAGGACTGGTACGATCAGGAGTCGCGTGGCTTTTCCAGTCAATACATTGGAATGGGGCATCAGTTTGGTCATAAGATACCCACTGGCTGGGCTTGCTCGGGAACGACTGCAGTGACTCTGCAGGACGAGTAGAATCAGCTGCTCGTAGATGTTCATTATAGGAGTCTAATACGGGAAGCAAACTTTTGCGTTACACATTTTCGGGAATATAACTGATATTTCCAGTCTCCTTGGGGTAACTACTTCTGGACATAATTCTGTCATAATTACTTTTCGAATTCCTTTGTTTTCGCCTTTCTGCTACTGTTTCCCGTTCAGTTCTAGTTATATTTATTGTAATAGTTGTGGTCTGGCGGAGGCTACCAGGTATTTTCAATGTAGAGGCTTCGGTTATATTCTAAGGATTTGGGTACTTATCAGGACTTTGAACGGTAGTGCATTACTTAAATCCTCCATAATTAACGCTTGGAAGAAACTTCCGAGTGGTTGGGGTCTTTAAAACGTTAATGTTGTGGGACCTCATTTGCGAAAGCAAAGTTAGAGGACTCGTGTGTGTTTTAGTGAAGTACAGTCGCATGGGTGACTAACATTACTTACAATTTTTACTTCGCTGACGCTCATGAGATCTTTTGGTGCTGAGAGATGATTGGAGTGAGGGTTCTGTTATTGTAACGAGTATTTTTAAGAAAGACATAACTTTGCTCCCGGTGAGTATGCATTTGAGTGTACTGTGGCAGTTATTTATAGTGGTTTGACTTATTATTTTTCCACATGTTACTAGCATATTTTCACTGATAGGGTGATAGATTTTTTGCAGGCAGAACAGGTGGAACATAAACATGCGCACCCAGAAGGTGACACTAGGAAAATAGTAAATTACTGCGTAAGTGGCGAAGAGAAACGGAAGGGACAGCAAACAAACACTGTTAAGAAGGATTAATTCGGGTTACATGATTGCCAGTATGCCTCATTTTCTGATTTCCTTATCTTGCGGTTTCTGTTCACATTGTCTGGTTGCAACAGTTTTACTTTATTTTAAATGTTCCGTCACGAGCCTACTTCTAATAGCGTTAGGTCCATCAGATTTGGTTGTTGCAAAATTAATTAACTTTTCCGTACCATATTATTCTTCTTTACCTCTTTTATGGGCACAAGAATTAAATAAAGGTTTTTTTTACTCAGTTCGGCAGCTGCACGTCCAGCTTCTCAACTCGTTAAGCGATGACGGAACGGATAAGGCGCTCAGAATCCTCAAAGCAATTGGTTTTTCAGGATACCAAGTTTTAGCAGTTTACGAGAGGAACCACCGAGGGCACATGCTTCGCATGCTGACTCTTGTTGAATTCGCCGTGCACTTTCAAGTTAAAAGTCAGTCATTCTCGAACACAAATGGTGCACTAGTCATCTGCACTGGTCGACTACAATTTTTCACCAACAGACTTGGGAGATTTTGACCTTTATCATCGTGAGGAAGCGACAGTGGATGAGTTGTTCAGTCGGCTTTTACAACGAATTCGGGCTTTAAAGTCCTCCGTATAATAGTGTAAGACAGTAATCGGACTAGCTTCATTTGCGAGTTCATGACAAAGACCATGTGTGGAGCATCGTAGACTTGCTAAAATTCAATTTTGAAGCTGTGGTGCATGCATGCCATGGTCCACATCACGTGATCCTCTTATGTAAACTCAGTTTTGTAATGGGTCCTGCACCATATCCTCCCAGTTTCTCAACATATTTCGGCACGAATTTATTTCACTCCATTGTAACACTTCCTAGAAACTGCTTTTGTTCTACATCTCACAACATTATCTTGTAGTCTTTGTCAGGTATATACCGCCTCCGTTCCAGAAAATTCCAGTTGAGTAAATCTCCAATAATGCGCCCACTCTTTCTTCCCTATAACTCTTAATAACTTGAGTCTCAGATATTTTGTCTTGCTATAAAAAGACCGAGTTTGGATTCATAAAGTAATGGACCCCTCTATAGGGACAATATCTTGAACCGGTGGAAATCAAAAGTTTGTCGCGCATTGAAAATTTCGTACACTCAACTGGACTGTTCAACAAAATTCGTTACTATAACCAATTCTCTTTGGGAGAACAGCGACTTCTTGATTGAGTGGTATGCAGAAGGCCGTGAATATTCTCGCGCGATAAATTTTATCGAGAAGAGACGTTACAATAAAGAAACAACAACTGATCCTTAAGGATCCGGAGGAGAGGCATCTGCAGCTTTATTTAGCGAAATCGGTATCATTGAAGTCAGCAAATGACTCAAAAACTTCGAGTATACGGAGGATCACGATTTGCGTAGATCCCTCAAGAACGAGTGAGAGGAGGTTACTCTTACTAACAACTATAGGAATGCATTATATTTCACGTTCTGTTCGACTGACTTCTTTTCTTAGCTTTCCTTCTCTTCTTTTCAATGATCCTTCTAAGTTTCTTAGCCTTTGGGGCAGTAACAACTCTGTCTGTATTGAAGATCTCCCCCAGGGGGTCTGGCATTTGGGCAGCATTAAGGGCTTCCGCCCTTTCTTTTCGTGCCTAAAATCAAGAAGTGGTTAGATGGTTAATCAGATTCTCGGATTTTAATCTCCTTATTGCTCACAGTAACTAGTATGAAAATCTCACAAGTTTGGAGTTTTTTCTTGCGACATATTTATCAAGAGCCTTTTTTTTAAACTGCCGGCGAATCATATTGGGACTAACGTAGTTTGAGTTATCGTATAAAACAGCTCCTTCAAAAGAACCATCTAGGATACATATCAATTCCATCACCACTCTTGGTCCTAGAAAACTTCGTAAATGCAATGTTCAGCAAACCTACCTGCTCCACTGAAAATGTGGTGGGACTCAAAGAACTATTCATGCATTGGAGACTTCCTAACTAGAACCAAATAAGTTTGTCAATTCCATTCAGATATCTAACTATACCGATCTCTTGCAACTGTAACTTTTCATCCACAATCTGGAAATTACGGAACCAAATTTTCCCATTCGGCGTCAACGAGAAGGAGAAAACGTGATCTATAAAAGGCTGACTTTTTGGATGGTGATCAGGTACTGCAAACACCTATAATGATGATAATTATTAACCAACAGAAACTAAAGAAAACTTGGAATGAAATTGTCGGTCAAAATGAAGCTAGTATACTGGTACTCTTCTCTATGCATGATGACCCATTGAAATTCGCTTACGGATAAAATCATTTCTTTTCCCCCTTGTAAAGTGTTGCAAAATATGTAAAGAAAGTAGTGCAACTCGTGTACTAACACCGAATGACATAAGTAATAAACCGGTGCAGATGAAAGAAAGAAGTGAAAGCAAACCTGCTTAATAAGCTCTTTTATAAGGGCAAAATGAGGTTTTTTGTTGAAAGAATGGCTAAAGGAGAGTACTGGCCTGGATGCTCTCAAACAGTTCCCTGACAAACGCAATTCGTCCATAGTATGTATATTGTGAACCAAAAACTTCACTGACGGTCCAGATGCAACATTACTCATCCATAGGTAAGTATCCTTGAATTATAAACCTTCCTGCTCCACAAGCTCTTCATTCAGTGACTGAGAAAAAAAGGCTTACAGTGTGCTTACGGTTCTCAAAGTACAAGCATTTGGTACAGTTTTTAATTTCAGCCAGTTCGTTGATGACTGTAAGATTTAAGCTTTTATCAAGTTTATTCTCTGATCTCGACTGGGGGAGTAAACATTTAATATCGTTCATTAGATGCCGAGTGTGATATGACGAACCTCTTGAACAAAAAATTAGTATTCTTTCTCTATTAAACCACTTCGACTTTATCTGAAATGATAACAACAAAGCTTTAAATGCAGTGACACACAGTAAGAGAAATGACTGTGGATGCAAATTCCGTTTAGAACAAAAAAGCCACAGTTATAAATCCTATGCGGAAAAATCAATCTGTTTGCTACAGCTTTTCGGTTGAGAGTATATTTCGAAGAATCATAATTAATAAACACGTTAACACAATGCAGACCCAAAAAGCAGTTAGTATCCGCTACTTGTTTTTAAAGAACTAAGACTTTAAAAAATTACTCAGCACTACCCAACCTACACAACTTGCCTACGAAAACCATTAACCACTCCAACTTTCCACCACTTCCATTTTAGATATCACACCGCTTTAACTCTTATATACAGCTACCTTAAATAATTTTCCGTCCCAAGTCTGTTTAAACCAAAAATAGAGCATTATTTTTATTTTTTTGATAACTGCAACTAATATACCTGATCGTAAGAATAAAACCCAAAGTGTTTCGGAATCCAAGGTTTCAATTTGCAATTACTGAAAGAAAACAAGGACCCAATGACAGCAACTTGAAACTTGCATCATAAGAATTAGGAAGAGGAAAGCGGTTTTAACGATCTATAGCTTAAAATACTAGGGAACTCGACAAAAATGGAAGATCGAACTAGAAGAAAACATATGACCCAAAATTGCACTGAAGTGGAACTGGAAAGAAACGGCTTTTCTAAAATTTAGGATGGAGAATAATGTAAACTTGTAAAGTTGCAAGGTGTCCTGACCAATATGGTTGTGATTTTCTTCCCTGAGCCTAACTTACCGCCTCTAAATAAAACTTCGATCTACTACACGTTTTATTGCTCCCGACAAAACCTCTTACCCTTGTTTCTGAGATTCCAGGACTACCTTCTATTGTACAGTCAGAATCGTCATCAGATAGTGAAACAACTTTTTCTTTGATCCTCTTCAATTTACCCATCTAAAACAACTATAGGATCAGATTTTGTTTCTCGAAAATATCAGTACAAAGCAAGTCACATTAAAATGAACAAATAAAAAGTTTTAACGAATCCAACGAAAAAAGTTCAAACAGTTTGAACCACTTATGAAGTAGATCTCATTCGACCACTTCATTTTAGGCGAATCTCCTTCATTTTTTTTTTCTTCTTTTTCAAAACCTTTTGCGACTACATTTCCAGTTGCAAACAATTCAATAAAAAAATCAATCAGTTTCTTTAAAATTAAAGATCTTAGTTTTTCCCACTCAGAACTGAAAAAATTTGACACGAGGATTTGACACAAAGGTGTACTGTAAGGTTCCGAGATCTACACTACAAGCTCTTCAGTAATTCGAATTTCCGAAAACTCAATGAGGGCAGATTCGTTCCGAGAACTTGACACCAAGCGAAGAACCGGTGTTGCCAACAAAAAAATATATATGCCAAATGATATTAAGTAAAGGAAGAAGTAAGAGCTAGGCGAAGACTTCATAAGGCAAAGAAAATGGGTAAGATGAAACTTATCATGTCAAGGAGCACGACAAAAATTAAGGATGGCGCCTTCATTTAAAAACCATCAAACGAACACAAGTGTCTGCATAAAAACTAAAATTTTAGCATATAAATTATAATAAAAATGCCACAGAAACACAATTACTAATTTCTGAAGCAAAACTAGGAGATTTCAATAAGGACACTTCAGCTGTGAACCCGAGGTACAGCCCCATAAATCCGACTTCATTTCAACTGTCGTCTAAGCTCTTGAAACGAAAAAGGAATTCATGGCTGGCTACGCGCCAACCCCGCTTTGAATTTGCAGCACATATACGGGGTGTACATCGCTGCTTCAGTCGGATAAGCTGCACGACATTACTGAGGACAGTTTGCTTCGTTTTATGCTGATATTTTTTCGTTTTGAGATTTGTAGTGCCGATGACTGTAAATGTATAATTACTTTTTACTTACGTTATTTTCATTCTCTTCTACTCGGCTTAGCCACATTTTAACGCCCTCATTTACCTCAGCCCTTTACGTGAGACTCGTTCCGCTCCCCTCTTTTAGCGCATACAGAAACTACTTAGCAATAATAATATGTTCTGCGTTTTTCCTCGCCACCGTCGAAGTGTAAGGACGTCTTATAACTAATTAATTGGCTTCGTATTAGTTCTCAGAGGTCTTCTGAAAATTTGTTTGATGTCTATTCTCATCTCTTCGCGACTTCTCTCTTCCTCTTCTATTCTTCCCTTCTTCAGGTCTCCACACCACACAGAAATTATCCTTTGTTAAAGTGCCTAAAATCGAAGCATCTGCG